CTATTTTACACGTGGATGAACCTATAACGCTTGAATGGACAATTAAATGACAAAATTGTATGTAAAAATTGAAATCTTTTTGAAAGTAACGCGTTTCCTTCTTTAAAATGACTTCAACATAAAGTAATGTTTCTACTGACAGAATTATAATTACTGAATTATAAAAATGCATGGGAAAAGACCAATACATCAGCGAAAACGTCTATTATATTTATGTCCTCTAAATTTTATGTTTTTTAACTTATGATGACCAATGTGTTCAGACGTAACAACTCCGCTGATTTCATTTACTTTTCTAACGTCTTATTTTATTTTATCGATGCTGTTTTTAAAAAGTCTATCATCATAATGAATCTGACCATAAGTTCGATTTAGAAATGCTGTTTTAATTAAAAGAGGAAGTAATTTATGAAGGCGAACATGTATAAAAGGTAACACTGATTTCTGAGATTTCCAGGTAAATTTGCGTCCAGATTCTTACAACATTTCACGTTTGTTAACAAATCTCCTTCTCTCAAGTGTGTGATATTTAAAATAATACTCCGACCATCCCACCGAACACCCAACATTCCACTAGATCTACCTTTTAATGAAAAAGTAACTACACTTTTAAAACAATGGGCTGCTTAAAAAACAGTGAATTTTCTTTTCTTCTCCTTACTCACATCTTTGACGATGACTCATGTAAGTCGAAACTTGAACCCAGTATGAATTTGACTATTTTATACATCAACAACAGTTACATTTGCGAAACGCTATTCACATAGAAAAAAAGACCAATAAATTTAATTGTGATAAAATGTCTATCCTTTTTATTAAGACATGTTTGCAAGAAAAATTGCTGTCAAAATATACAAGATATTTATACATATTCATATGCGTATGTATACACTTACTTATATCTATAAGTCTAATGATGAAGAAAGCCTTCATTTTACACAAAATATATTTTGAAATATCATTTTAAATATCGCAAATAATTATCACGGTAGGGTAGGTCACTTTTAGGACCGTGATATTGCACTCAATTTGAAAGTTGAGGTTTGACATGTTAAATAATAATAAAAAATATTTTTCCAAATCGTTAACTTTTTTGAGGAAATGACTTTGAAGATTAAGTTTAGGTTCAAAATCGTAGCGTTAGAATTTCGTTCTGGTAATAAGTGAAAGCCTTAGAGCACAGACTTATAAAATTTATAATTTACTGAAGCTTTACACAATGTATATGTACAAGATGCAAGGCACGCGCACATTATGACTAAATCCTTGTGCCATCAAAGAAGACCTTCATTTACTTAAAAGGGAAATTATACTGAGCAATTTAGTTATATTATGATGCAATAGGTTACACAGTGCGGTAGCTTTGGTGTGATTTTCAATAAACAATGCAAATTTAAAATATTTTGTCTTATAATGTGTACCAGCATTATCAATTTTTTGTTTTTATTAATTATTATCTAATATATGATGTAACAAATATTATTCATTGAGTAACCTTTTTTGTAATCTTTTAAAATTTTTTTACAGAGTTTTTATTTATCAAATACAGTAAAGAAAGCATATTTTGTTTGTGTTGATTCATAATTAAAACGAGGATTTTAATATATTTTCAATTCCATGTATCCAATACAAAAGATATCAAATATATTCGGATATTTTTCTTTAAATAATAAACATTTTTAGGTCTGTAAGAAAAAACCTGCGGAAATTAGGTATTTCTGTATATATTTGTCTTTAACGATCTTTAAAACTAAGTGGTTAAAAATTACTAAAACCTATGAATCTAATGTTTGATGCCACTACTTATCACCTCAAACCCACTTGTTACACCGAATGCAATGTTGATTTTCTAAAACAATAGGGAATCATCAACATAACCTATTATCCTTGTATAAAAAGAAACTAATTAATTCTAGCCGAAGGATGTTACAATATTATAATAATATGAAAGGAAATTAAATAAATTGTAAATAATGAAAAAACAAGAAATACCTCGAATTAGACAAATAAAGTGGAAAATGAATAGAAGGATTCTTTCAGCGTCATCCATTTTAAAAGTATTGATTATTAGACGTAGAAAAACTTCAGTCAAATCTTGCGACTTTTTAAATTCTTGTGTTTCTGTGGATATTCAATTTAAGTAATATTTGGTTTTCGTACAAATCAGTTTACAAACGAACATTTTAACTCTATATATTCACATAATATATACAAAATGCATTAAAACAAATGAATCTCGCATTCGTGTTAACATTGTACAATTTAATAAGCCCAACTTAAATAATTTTAATAATCCCATATTGCATAGTCTAGAAAAGCGCCATGTCTATTTACGATTATCTTAGATTTGTAAGATTTCCGAGGTAAATCATTGAAAGTCAGCATTTTTTTCATATTTTGTCAGCCCACAGATTTTTCCCTCCATAGTCTATGATGAAATACATTCATAAAAAATGTTCTTCCTATCCCCACATCATGTTAGTTCAATGCTTTATATTTTTAAATGCCAGTGTAATGCAAAATATATTATCAGAACTTGGAGTCGAAAAGTCAACCTTGTTGAAAAACTAAGGGAAACAAATATGACTGACAAACTCATCGCCAGTCTAGATATAAAATCACTTTACACTAATATCCTAGTTGAAAAATGCTCAAATCTCTTAAAAATCCAGTTAACAAAATCAAAGATAAAACTCTCCCTACCAAAAGCTAAATTAATAAAAATATGACATCTCATCACCCATCAATGATATTTCACATTTAATAACAATTTTTACAAACAAAAATTTGGATTAACAATGGGATCAACTCTCAGTGGAGTGATGACACTGATATTCATAGAATTTTTCAAATCTGGTTCTTTCCAAAATATTTTACCTGAACAATCAACTTACTTTCGATATATTGATGATGCTGTATTAATATATCCACAAGATATTAATTTACCTGATCTTATTTTTGAAAGAATATTTTTGAAAGAATATTTTTGAAAGAATATTTTTGAAGGAATATTTCTTGAAAGAATAATTTTGAAAGAATATTTTTTTCCCTTTAGCCAAATTCACTAATATCCTTTTTCGTTTTCTCTCCATCTTCTTTGTCCCTAACTATCCCACAAGAGAAAATCTGCCAAGTATGGTGATATATTGTAAGAGCATTCCCTATGTCAAAACTGTTGTCTGTTTATTTTTACAAATACAACCGAAAAGAATTTATCTAAACTCAACGTAAAATTTGTCACAACAACATCTAAAACAATCGAAGATTAATTAATAACCCCCAAAAAAAAAAACAAGTCAAAACTTGAAGGAGAAATTTACTTTATCAAATGCAGGAATTGCCAGAAAGAATATATTGGAGAAAGCACAAGAAGAATAAACAGAAGACTATATGAATACAAAAGGGATATATTAAAAAACAATACACAAAACGCATTGGTTATTCACCGTAACAAAACAGGCCACAATTTTGACATAGGGAATGCTACTCAGATTAAAAGAGAAAATAATTCACTAAAACGAAAATGTTTGGTAATTTTGCGTCCAGGCTCTTACAATATATCATCACTCATGGCAGATTTTCTGTTGACACAATCTGGGATAATCATGGACAAAGATGATGGAGAGAAAAAGAAAAAGAATACAGACGAATCTGGCTGTACTGAAAAAAATATTATTTCAAAATTATTCTGTCAAATATTTTGAAACTACCAGCGTCTCTCGTTTCGTGCGCACGTGTTGTCGTAGCAACATCAACAGAGACCAGTCCAATGAAATCCTAACATATGAAACGCGTCAAAGAAAATTTTCCAATTTGTTATACTATTTTCCCCAATACTGTTTCTTGATATATAAAATTATATCTTTATGTCAAACACACACACACAAACACACACGCATATATATATAAAAGACATTTTTATGTTTATACTTTCTTTTTATAGATACAAATATTTAAGTAAATGGTCTGTTTATAATAAACAGTATTAACAACATTTACCGGCCTGAGTGTCCGAGAAATGTTAAAAGAAAATATGCGTCCTCCGACAGGATTCGAACTTGTATCCTATACGGAACCGTCATCTAGTCTGACGTGTCTTAGCCGATTGGGCGACAGAGGAGCGTCCGGTTAGCAAGGTCGATTTTACTGTTTTAAAACACAATTCTCCATAATTTTCTTTCATTCATTCATATCTGTTCAATGCGTATCCAACAGAAAATTCTTGAGTGTCGCTATTGAATCTTGCCGAAATGTTAACCTTCGCCACCATTTTTTTCAAATACCTTCTTTCCCTAACCAACATACATGATCATAATTTTTTTTTAAATTACACGAAAACGGTTAAATCAAGATCTTCTATTATTTAAGATAAGTAAATATATAAATAATGAATCAAATTCAAATAAAATAATAAACAATAATTGCATTAAAAAAATAAATAAATACATATAAACAAATAAGAGAAAAAATTCAACAACAATAACAACATTTACTCACTTTTTTATTAGGCATTAAATTATATTATTTAGTATCTCCCATTGTTTATTTTGATTTTTATAGCTTGAAGAATATTTATAAGCATTCTTAAATTTTAAAATTTTGAAAAGTTCAGGATATTTTTTCACTTCTGTTTATAAATCAGTCAGTGAAATGGTGTACGTGATACATGCTTGGACGTTCAGCTCACTTTCGATTCATTACTGACTTGTCGGAAGATTTTCACACAGTAGGTTGTCATTCCTTTCAGTCGTAGATTGGTTGTCAATCGAGCCTATAGCACCCTCTGTCTGTCCTGCTATTTAACCCATAGTTGGGGGAGAAGACGTTTCATATATTTTCCAAGGAATCTGCTCGTAAGTGAATATAACGGAGCCGTTTGATATTCGAACTCGGCTGTTCGATTTCTTATTCCGTGACGATATCCATTATGCCACGACATAAATACATGTTGCCAAATAAAATCCTTATTTTTGACATGATAAGATCCATCAGGGTAGGAAATGTTTCTCAAAGTATATTGTTCACATTGTTATTTTCCCTATTCTATTCCGTTACCAATTTCTTCTTACCTTCTTCCTGTTTTTCTTACCCTCTTTTTCCCTGCATTCCTTTTTTCGCCGCCTTCCTTAATTGTATTTTTTCTTTCTTTTTTTTTCTTTCTATCACACTGTTTCCTTTGGTCTTTCCTTTTACAGCTTTCTCTCAAATGCAGAAATATGCATAATATTTGTTTGTGACGATGTGTAGCGTGTTTCCCATTTCAGCCATGTGGGCGGTGTTTTAATTGTCGGTAAAACGACGGGGTCCTTTTCCTACGGAGGCAAATGAATGATGGCCAACCAATCGTTGCTGTAATGTCATACACGAAATTCTAGCTTTGTGGTAATGTTCACTCTGACATACAAAGTAATTTAGAATAAAGAAAAAAACGGCTTCATTTCTCCACCAACTTTCAATCTTTTTCTATTCTTTCATTTTCGCCTCGAAGAATAATTACCTAAAATGCTTCGCATACATTTAGAGTTTTACAGATTACATTTATGCCTCTTAACAAAACTATAAACGGACCACACACAGACTTATCATTTACACATGTCGGGAGATATGGACACTAAAATGTATAAACGTGTTACATTCATGCAAAATATAACAAAACTACATACAGACCACACACAAATTTATAGTCTAAACATATCGATATAAATTAACACAAATATGTATTACGTGTTACATTCAGGCCTCATAGCAAAACTATATATAAATTACACACAGGCCTATAATCTACAAATATCGTTAGAAATAGGCATTCAAATGTATTACGTGCTACATACAGACCTCATAGCAAAAATATATCCAAACCAAACACAGACCTATATCCTACACATATATCGAGAAATGAATACGCAAATGTATTTCGTGTCACATTCAGGCCTATACACACAATACACACACAGACCTATATCCTACACATATAGCGAGAAATAGACGCTCAGATGTATTACGTGTTGCTTTCAGAACTGACAAGCAAAACTATCTATAAAGCACAATCAAACCTATAGCCTACACATATAACATGAATGTAAATATTATTAAAAACACTTTTGTGACGATTAATTATAATGATCAACTTTTCCAAATTACGAGAAATTCTTCTCAGACAAGGAGGAAATTCCGTCAGAAATTGTACGAAGTTCATTGCTGAAAAAAGTACAAGATATGGTTTAAGCTTTCGTCTTTCTTAAGTCATCATCAGGGTTGGTAGAGAAAATTGCTGATTTTAGCAGAACTAGTGAGTGTTGTGACATAAACAAGGAGTGTCGTATTTATTTTAATTATGCATTTGAGGATGCAGGCTCTTAAGCTATAATTATTTTTATTTATTGATGGTTATTTTTATCATATGAATATTGCTTCAAGGATCATATTTCTTTTTACTATTTGATTTTGCTAGTATTGTTTGTAAGTAGCTGCGTAATGTTACTATGATCCTTATGCTTCTTATTAATGTGTTGTTCGATGGCAACATGATCATGTATGTGGCAGGTAAGTTTCTATGAGAGTGTGGTTGCGGTATATCTAATATAAGATGTTTTGTGTTTTTTTTATTTACAGATAGACATTCTCCGAAATACATTCATATATCTGACCTTTTTAGTAATATTTGTCTTAAAGAAGAATTTGTTACTTAAATACACAGAATATAGCGAGAAATGACCCTTCAGCTGTATTTATATTCAAAACTTCATCAGAGAACACAGCATGAAAGTAACACAATACATTTGAGAGTTCATTTTACGGTATATATGTAGGCTATTGTGTGGTTTGCATATAATTTTGTTATGAGTCCTGAATATAACCCGTAATATAACCCCGTCGTTTTACCGACAATTAAAACACCGCCCACATGGCTGAATCATGGATCGGGAGATCAGAGGTAAACAAAACAAAAAAAATATTTAAAAAAAAACACACTAAAAACACTAAAAATATATATATATAAAAATACACTTTTATGGTAAAATTACCAACAACATATGTTTGTAGTGGAATTACCAGCAATACATTAAAAAAAAATTACCAATAATACATTTTATGATCTACAAACTATATATTCTAAAAACATACCTTTTCCCTTAAGGTATAAAATTATTTACAGAATGTCTTTAGCATAAAATCACATCCAAAATATTTAGATTCCGGCATGAAATGATCCATCGAAGTTGATATGCCGCTAAACGAAAAATAACCAACCAACAGAAAGAAAAGGATCGGAGAGGTTCTCACAATATCGCTCATTTTAAAAGCAGTGATCATGCAGCGTAAAATGGTTGTTCACCGCTTTGATTTATTTGGTTTTGACAGAGTATCAACCCTTTTCAGGTTATTTAAAGCCAGAAAATATTTTTAGGTTGTAAGAATCTCTTTTTTTTTTTTTTTAAAATAATAATGTTTTAGTGATACAAATCTTACTAATTAATCCATAGCTGGGGAAGAATAGGTGTATTCATACCATTCTCAATGTTATTTGTGCATAATTGAATTGTGTCATTATTCATTACACCACCGCACATCCAAGCTCATAGTACGTGGTATTCGTAAGCAGTCACCCATCTAGATACTGGCCAGTCTCGACGTTACTTAATTTCGCTAACTGTACCTGAACCGGCTGTAAGCCCACTGTCTTGGTTCACGAATTTTCCAAATGAGATCCTATTTCTTAAGACATTATATTTTGTGGATACACGTGTTTTAAATAAACGTCTATGCTTTTTAAACACTATATTTCTGCCTTCCGGCTTCCTCAGTATACGAACATATACAGTTTATAAAATAGAGACGTCTACTGAAATACGTATATCTACTAAATATAATCTCTATAGTAATAAAGAAATAATAAACTGTAGATTTAAAAAAATCATTCCTTTAAAAAAAATGTGGCCTACGTAATTAATTTTACTGTATTGGAAAAATATGACAAGAACCAGAGTTAAAATGTCTCACACTGAAGTTGAATTCTTCCCAAAATGTTAACTTACACCCAAGATTTCTTTTCAAATATCTCCTTTCTTAAAAGAAACACCTTTTCCCCAAGCCAACGTACATAACCATAAAAATGTTAAGAAATTAAAAGAAAACGATTAACTCAACAGCTTTTATTTTTTAAAATACCGTATTTGACGGCATATAAGGCGCACTTTTTTTTTACTAAAAATATCTTTTAAAATTCTCCTGCATCTTATATGCCCTATATAGTTTTACTAATTACTATTTTTTTCTTGATTCGCCCTGCTGAAATAGGAGCGCGTCTTATACAGCCGTGCGTTTTATATGCCGTCAAATACGGTATATGCATACATAAATAATTTATCAAATTAAAATGAAATAATAAATGATAATTGCATTAATAAAAATAATTAAATAAATTTATATTTATGTAATATAAATACGAAAATAAAAATTTAGCAACATTTACTTAAATATTTATGAGCGGTCTTACATTACTGCCGGATGTAGTTTATCGTCATACCCATGAGTAGATTTAGAAATAGGTTAGTTATTTATGCATATTAATATTAATATTACAAAGAAAATGTTTTCTTGCCTTTGATTTTTAGAAGTCATTTTAAGAGTTGTTCTGAAAATAGAATATATTTTGTTGTTCCCACAATGTTTAAGTTGAAAAGAATCTGAAAGAGAAAGCATCTGTTTAATAAAAGTCAAAAGTAAAGGACACACCGTATATATTCAGGGATAGGTCGCGCCCTTGGACTGGGGTTGTGAAAATGGGTATTTGTGGGTGATGCACAGATAACTCACACTATAATCTAGTGAGTTACATAGTTCATTTTTAACAAAGATATAAACTAATATTTGTTAAGTAATATTTCTGAGATTTCAAAATGTCTTTCTGCAGATTTGTTTCCATATTCTTCTGCCCAATCCACAACTTAAAACCTACTTCATAACTCTCTCATGATTAGGGTTTACAATTATTAAAATTTGTAAACTACTGCTACCCGTAAAAAATGGGGCGAATCTAGTTTTTGTATACTGGTAAATGCCTACTCTGTACTGAATAACTGTAAGTAAAATTGTGATTGATTGTATTTGTGCGGTATTTACTTATTGAGTGTTTAGATGAAAATTTGGATACCAGTAATTGCTTTAGTCCTGAAATCATTTGAAAATGATAGTCTTTCGTTGGAAACCAGAAAATAAATGGTAGATAAATTGCAGATTGAGCGCTTTTATTTGATATGTGATGTGGTACTGTTGGAAGAGGTGATTGCATAAAATTGAAATATCAGGAAAAATTAATTTTCTCCCTTGCACTCATTTATACCTGTACCCAGGGTACTCGCCTGGAGTACTGATACGCCACAATTTACTTCAGATTCTCTATGATGTTGAGGGGTTAAGTCCATTATTTGCCCATAGCTGGGACCCTAACAGATGCTACCACTCCAGATCATGGTGGACCTCTGAACAACAGCAATTAAGAGGTGGTTCCGTGCTCCTCAAAACCTCCCGATCAGGGGCCTTTGAGATGGATGTAGTTTTATTGTCAGGACGGTCCTTTTCATTCTCTTTTGCCCTTTGTAAAACGAAGGCTCACTTGTTTTTCGATTCAACTTTAACATTGCTATATTGCATAGTCTTTGTAGACTGAAACATTTATTCTGACACTGGAATGATCGCAGTAGTTCATTCTCTACTGTTATACCTTTATAAATTATCCAACAATAATTTCAACAATTTCTGTCTGAATTGCTGGGATGAAGATTTATTATTTACATTCGGACTAATATTTCAATTTTTCTTGTTATTTTCATAACGTTTCGGTTGTTGTGCTATTCGAACTTCTTCAGGTGTTTATCGATCATGTTAACATTCAGAGAATTTTGAAGTGAATTAATTATTAACCAGCAGGGATAGATTGTTCCCGTTTTGTTCTCCATGTCTAGATATATCTCGTCTTGTTCTTTTTATTCAGTTCTGTTCTGTTATTGTTCGTCCTCTTTCCACTGTCTTTAAGCCTGTACTACTACTTCTGGTATATTCAGCATGGTCATTGTGAGTTCAATCGTAGATGAAATAAATGGTTAAGTTCGAAATTCACTGAAAATTACCCGGATCTAGAGACGCCTGAAGAAGGACGAAACATTGTGATAAGAACAAAGATGAGAATATTAGCCCGAATTTAAATAATAAGTTCAGCATTTGTCAAAAAAAAAAAAAAAAAAAAAAATTGAAAAAGACAAAATTGAATTAAGAAAATATTTTTGTGCAGTATATCCAGAAATGTATTGACTGTAAAATATTAAATTGCACTTGTAATTCAAATAGAAGGGGTGGTTAGAAATTTTTAATAAATATTCCAATAATTTTCAGTAACAAAACGCTTTGTATAGGCTTGCTAGCAGCCTAAATTAAGAGGTTGGAGTAAATTTCTTGAATATTTAATAAAAGGGATAGATGGAATAAGGAGGTTGCCAGCGGACGTTCCCCATAAAAGTATAATCGCCCCTACCCGTCTATTTGAAAATCAAAGGTACGCAAACATGCAACTATATAAACTTTCTATTTGTCGCTGTGATTGTGTATCTCTTTGGTTTCGCTTTCTTTGTACCACTTGAAATATTTTAACATCTATCTATCTATCTATCTATCTATCTATCTATCTATCTATCTATCTATCTATCTATCTATCTAACATACAAAAGTATCCCCCCTCTGGCTACCCTATTATTTTCCGATTCACTTTCACTGATGTGATGATGCGAGGTTAGCGGAACGGTAACAAATATATATCCGCCCTCAGTCGTCGCACACAATCATGAGTACAGATGCAAAATCGCTGTTGATGGCTCATAAACATACATGGGGGTTGACCACCTTTGAAGCCTCTTAAAACAACTCCATCCATCTTTCTGAAGATATGTAAACATATAAACAGCTCCGCTTTAGTTATGACATTGCATTCCATCAGTAATAATGTTCACACTTCAGCCGTACTAATGCTTCTATAAACAGTCGTTCTAAGTAAGCACAATAATCGACATTCGAATACAATACGTAGATTCTTCGAGTATCTCCTTCGACACATTTTCTGTACGACTGTCACATCTCGCTGCCTACGATAACAAACGAGATTCATTTGCCAAATGACATTGTCCACATAGCAAACGCTCGCTTCAAAAGCATTGCTGATATTCCCGGATGAATCCGTCTCGTGCTTATCGCAAAATCATTGAAAGATATTTTTTCCAAAACTATTCTTAAAAGAAAACGGCGAATATCTAAGTAAAGAAGTCAATATTCTAACAGCATCAATACAAACAAGAAAGTTCTCGTGGGTGAATGATATATACTTCTTAATGTTTGTTGCATTGAGATCAGAAGCTGGAGGCGACTAAAAAAAGAAAGTACAATTACATGATATGAGAAACAACTAATCTAAATATTAGGTTATACTACTTTAGCCAAATATATATATATATATATATATATATATACCAACACACACGCATACACACCCTCAATCTCTTCAAATGATCCATTTAGAACAACACACACACTTTCTCGCTCTCACAAAGTTATCCATTCATAGGAACGCACGCACACATAGAAACATGCACACACAGACACACACACGCGCACACTTTCTCTCTACCAAACTTATCTATCCACAGGAACACACGCACACACAAACGAACAAGCTTTATCCCTCTCAAAATTATCCATTCACAGGAACACATACACAAACTCTATACATACACCTATACCCTCTCTTTCTCTCTGACAGGAAGACATACACTCACAATACACACACACACACACACACACACACACACACACACATTCACACAAACTCTTACTCTCACACAACAGTCCATTCACTTATTCAATGACGCAACTATACATAAAAACACACTGCCTCTCTAAAACTTATCCATTTACACATATTCACACACATATACACAAACACGCATTGTCTCTCTCTTTCTTCATTCTCTCTCCTTTTCGCTCAAACTTAATAATTCAAGAAAAATACACATAGATACAAACATACACGCACACACATATGGCCAAAACACATTCTCTCTCCCTTTCTCTTTCCAACTTATCCACTCACTGACAGACAGACACACACACACACACACACACACACACACACACACACACACACATATATATATATATATATATATATATATATATATATATAAAAAAGTAAGAACAGTAAGATATAAAAATCCGGTGTTCTTATAGAATTTTATTTTACAAAATACACAGAGCATTAATATTATAAATTAATTGATTTAAAATAGCATTATTCTATTTCTCACAGTTTGAAGTTTCAAAATCTAATCTTTAATTTTATTTTTGCAAAAAATAAAAATTAGGGTTTTTCTATTTTTATCTAGCAAAAAATAACTATATTTTAAATCTAATTTATATATATATATATATATATATATATGTAAATAAATACACACACATGTCTCTCTCTATCTATCTATCTATCTATCTATCTATCTATCTATATATATATATATATACATTTAAAATTAACCTTACATGAACAATTCAAGTTTCATACATAAAAATTTATCATTATGAATATACGATTACATACACTGGGCTGTGAATTTCTTGCAAAATTTTACAGCGAAACCCGAATTTCAACAGAGTATTCCATTTTTAGTTTTCAAACCAAAACGTTTTGAATTTTTGCACACACCTAATACTACGAACTCTTTCTATCTATCTATCTATCTATCTATCTATCTATCTATCTATCTATCTATTAGTTTGGACATTGCTATTTTTATATTCGACAACAAAAGCCAATATAAAGGCAATGGGAATATTTTGCGATTTGCGAGATGTTTCTTCCTTTTGAGTAGAGAACCATATTTTTATCATCTTGAAATCGATCAATTCATACTCTTGTAAAATATAAAATACCCCCATGCTATTAACATGTATCTCTTTAGCATCTCTAGTTTTCTCTCTGTCACTTTCTTGTTCTCTTCGTAAATTTCTCGAGCAATCATTTCTTTTGATGTCTACGGTTTCATTTTTGCACTAACCGCTTTTGATTCTGGTAATCCACCGACTTTTAAGATCGTTTTACGCAAAAAGCAAAATGACAACCATCTGCTAGTTGGAGAGGATCATGTTTATAAATACCTACTGTTTGCTTATCTAGCTGCACATAACTAAGTAAAAGAAAAGACAGGCTGTCATTTCTCCAGTAAAGGGTCTCAAAGAAAAATAGTAACAGAATTCAAGGAATAAAGGAATTAATACAACACAATATGTTTTAATATACTGTTTTCAAACATACTAAAACAGCGACAAGAATAACACGCTTTTTCTTTCTTTCTTTCTTTCTTTCTTTCTTTCTTTCTTTCTTTCTTTCTTTCTCAATGTGTACACGCATGTCTGTGTATGTGTGTGTGTGTGTGCACACGCGTGTGCCGGCACAGACACGTACCCATATCGACGCCACCTGTCAATACATTCATTAAATAAAGAAGTGACCTTGGAATTAATTACACAGGGAATTTTCTCATCCTTTGTGCTCTATGCCCTTAGAACGTGGGCGATCATGGCTCTCTGCAATTTCCTATCAGTTGTAGCTCTTAGAAATGTTTCTCATTTTATTATACCTCACGCCATACTGTCATCCATTTAAAAGCTCTTTAGGTAGCTTATTTGCTGCAGTTCTCTGATTTTTTTTTGATCGTCAATATAACATGGGAGTGTCACATTTTCCATACCTGCTTTTCTCATAATGTATCCTAGGAAAGTCAATTTTCTCTTTCTGATTTTATATATAATTATCCTTTCTGTTTGCATTTTCCCTTAAACTTTCTAGTTGCTTACATTCTCACCATCCTTCTGTAGAACTACGTCTCTTTTGCTTCAAATCTTCTGTTTATCTGTGAGGAAATTTCTCGCATGCACTGTTATAAAACATAAATTAAAAAATGTTCTAAATGCTGAAAAAATAGTGAAAATTTATTTTTCAGATTTATCTTATTTAAATTCCATCTTACACATTTATAAATCTACCATTTGTCCTAGCATTGAATATTTCTGGTGCTTCTCGACAAAATTCAGAGAAGGTCTGTAATATTATTGGTCCCGACAAAATCATCTCGACTTCAACCATTTTCCCACTGCGTTGACATATTGCTTTCCTCTTTTTTTTCTGTAAATTTTTCATGACTCTTGTTCTAATAAGCTCTTCTCTTTGGTAACCCAAGCATTAATTTAAGCGTAGTACTAGATTGGTAACCAGGTCTCATTATTTTACTGCTGAAATAGCTATGTACATCCTATTCTAAGAGTTCCCTAAATGAACAATCTTCGAAAATTTAAATGCAACGTCATTGGTCATTTTTTGACTTCCTGAATCTTGATTTTATTGTCTTTTCTGTTCACTAAAGTCATCGCTTTCACTCCCAGTAGCCTCCTGAGTGTTAGTAGTATTAGTCACTGCTTGGGTTGGAATGATTAAAAGAATAAGCGAAACCTTCTGAGTAAACACCAAAACAAAGAACCTGGTTTTTATGAATATCAGTTTCAGATATAAACATTTCTTGAAATCATAAAGATCTAATCAAATCAACAGGCAATGAAGGAATGCGAGACAAGATAGCTCACTGGAAACGATAACAATTCTCTTTTTTCATCCTATATACTCAGCATAATATTGCATTATAGACTCGATATGCAAATATGTATTTTATATAATTCGAAATTGGAATCGGCAAAAATTATTGCATACAACCGTAACCGTAAAAACGATTGCAGACCTGGTAGCAAATTTTACTTTCTAAATCATGATAGATTATCAAAGATTTTCCACACAAGATACTGGTTCCCGTGCAATACGTTGTTGCACATAAGTGCAACATCGTATTGCATATTTCCTTCGAAAATACAAGCTGAAAGTGATAGGCTAATTTTAAAATTTAAATACATCGGACATTAAAACTTAAATTTAAATACTGAGCCGTTATCTTTAACGTTTCAATATAAACTGTTTCCGGTGTTTATGGTATATCGTTTTCTATTTCCCCATTAAATATTGGACTGATTACAATAAAAATGAAACGAAAACAAAAAGAAACTTATTTTGTTTTAAGAATTTCTTCTTGGTAAGAAACACGTCGTTCAAATTTGAAAATTATAATTAGCATTCGTTCGATCATTCTTTACCAAAGGGCATGAGATCTGTTAATAAGACTTTTTAATCATTTCACCCCAAGCAAGGCAATAAGGCCACTACGACGCAAGGAAGATACTGAGTGTGAAAGAATATGATAAAAAGAAAAACAAGAAGAGAGAATAATAAAAGAACAGGACTTAAGAAGACAGAAGATAACGATTGACATTGCCTTTAACTTTTTGAAGATCAAAGTTGACTGGAAAGGAAGAAGCTGGAAGAGATTTTAATAAGAGAGAACTGCGAGATAAGAAACTTTTGGCATAGCACTTACGGTTAGATCATGCAATTTCAATTGTAAAATGATGAGACCTCACTGCAATCTAGTACTGCGCTTAAATTCGTAAAGTCGGAGTACCAAATTGGATAGGTCACCAGAACAATTAGCATGAAAATATTTATAGAATAGACACATGAGAAGCTACGTTACGGGAAATTTGATAGATTTATTATGGTTCTGATGAGCGTTTCGAGGCGAAACGCATGAGTTGACCAACGAGATATGTCACTTGATCTTTTCTTGATTAATTGATTTATTTTTACAGCGATGTTCACCCTTTACAAGGCGCGGGAGCCAATTGAGGTAGAGGGTTTCGTTTGAAGGCCATTTGTATGTATAGGAGTGGAAGATAGCGGTTAAGCCTAGCCTTGAACAAGTTAAGATTGCAGTGATCGGGGGAAACATCCTGTTGGGAGTCCGTTCCACAGGTCAATGGTTCGCTGGCAGATGCTGCTCGAGTGGTAATTATATCTAGCTATCTATTGAACGCTTTAGAGCAGTTCTACTGACCTGAAGTCATACGTTAAATTCTCGTAATTTTCAAGTATTTTTTCAATAGTAATTTCAGTATTTGTTGTATATATATATATATATATATATATATATATATATATATATATATATATATATTGTCGTGAAGGAGAATATTCCCCAACAAGTTTGGACTGGGCCGTCGGACGAAAGACATAGAAATACTCCTACATCAAGAGGAGTAGCAGTAGCAGCAGTAGCTTTTACTGAAAACAGTGATTCAAGGCTAACCTTTCTATTCCCTAGTTTCTATTCTATATTATATTTCCCTGTATCAAAAGATAATAAACTTGTTAAACCAATTCCGGTTGTTTCTTGTAGTCTTCTTGTACCTACCTTCGTATATAACTATATATATGAACACAACCACGCCCACCAATACACCCACACTCATACGCTTCTCACGCGCACCATCTCTGCATGTGTCCCTGTGTATACATATTATCCTTGGTTTTTATTGAGTTTAGATTTGTATGAAAGGCCGAATAAATACATAACTGAAGACTTGTAGTTAGGGTCTTTTTTTTTCTTTCTGAAATTTCTGTTAATTTTATCAGTTTTTAATTAAGCAAGTGAACTCAGTACAGAAAGTCTCTTTGCATAACGACACTTCCTGGCCAAGAGAAAAGCAAAATGTCGTCTGTATTTGTGTAATGTTTACACTTCATTTGTTGTACATTGTCATTGTTTCTTTGTTTGTCTTTCAATTTCAGCCCTATCAGCTGAGTGTGAACGCATTTGGTTACGAAACATAGAACCAAATTGTCTTTTAAGCGGCTTGCTTAATCGTTCCTGATGAATCTACCATCTGTCTAATGCGTATCTGAAAAGACAGCACAGCTAATGACGCAACACGGCTTAATTAACCTCGGAAGGTAAACAAAAAAAGGACAGGCACTTGCAAGAAAACGTTGTGTGATACAAAGCCAAAAGACAGCATGAATGCTTACTTCATGAGAGACTTAATCAGTTCTATTGTCGCTTTGTATAACGGCATAATAAAGAAAAACAAGAAAAGACTAGTAATTTCTAAGCGCGTAGGAGGTCTGCTATCTATCTATCTATCTATCTATCTATCTACGACGGGGTGTTGAAAATTAACGGGCCAACCAAACCCAAATAGGGGTGCCTTCCTCACAAGATTTGCTGTGATCACGTCAGATTTTAGGAAGTGGATCGGAACTAAATATTTAAACACCCCATATTGTGTACACTCACTCGCATACATACACACACACACAGATATATATATATATATATATATATATATATATATATATATATATATATATATATATATATATATAGTGTCCCACAAAAATGTGCTCAATCTTTAAAAAGAAAATAAATGCAGTGTTTGTTGACTTTCAGACAAGATTGATGGTTAAAATTTAGAAATATTAATTTTGTTGACTTACTAAATTAAGTGCATGGATATAAAAAGAAGAAAACTGAATTAGTAATAGGAATTCAAAAAGTGAGTCCATTGTTTGCGACAACCTGTATACATACATACATACATACACACACACACACACACATATATATATATATATATATATATATATATATATATATATATATATATATAATGTTAATGGTATTACTATAAACATTATTTTTAGTTTTTGAGTTTCTCTCCTTGTTTTTTTGGATTTTACCTAAGATTGAAGTAAACAGATATATCAGTCAAGACAAGGTTACCCACGACAATAACATTTATATCAATAGGATATATATATATCTTATTATATAATATATATATATATATATATATATATATATATATATATATATATATATATATATATATTTTTTTATTTTAAAAGAACATATGGACATTTCAAATTTAGTTACCTCCCCTGAAGTTTACATTGTGGAATTTAAATTGTTTTCAAAGTTAAAATTTATCTTTCTGATAAAGACAACAATATTGTCTTAAAAAAACATCCTGATGATGACGCACTACTGTCAAACGTACTCAGAATAAATGAATATGGTAATTTTCTCTGATCTTTGAACAAGGATACGAAGAAGATTTTCCATGAATATGAGAGGATCCTATTGAACATTAGTCGGTAAAACTTGTCTAAATTATTCAATGAGACAAATTGTTGTGTTTATGTGGTGGTTCTTATATTAAATTAAATTGCGCGCTATGTAATAATAATTATAATAATACAATACTTGGTCGTCGAATCGTAAACTATCGAATGCAGCGTGCAGTGAACAAAATATCGATTGCTTGCTTTTTGGGGGGTGTTGGTGACATCAGAATTGAATTGACATGTAATTTAAAACAATTTTTACTTCGGTGGCAGCTACCAACGTTTCCGTTCTGTAAGGGTTTGTAGGTTCTCCAGAAAATAATGGCACCTTTTTTGAGAACAGAAGTTTAAAGAATAGAGATAGAAAAACATCATGTTTAATCTTTATGATTGATCGTAATTTCGCCAATGTATAACAATGTCATTCCTGCCGATACTGCAAAAGTCATGGCTCCTAAAATCAATAAATTCTCGAAACGCTTTCGGTGAGCATCGTCAAAGAATCGCCTCCTTCCTGAACATTCATAATCTTTTGGGATATTCATCACTTTAGAATGTTTGGTGCTAATGCTGAACCGTATGAACGGGAATCGATCCTTAGCCGAATGCTTGGCGGATATTTCGGGTTGATTCTGTAAGTTTTCGTCCTAATATGAACTCATAAAGAATTATCAAAAGGAAAGTCTTTTTCGTCTATGAATCAATAGCTCCAACAAGTAAAAGGGCCGAGAATTTAAACATAGCAACAGCTTGCCTAATAAACGACTTCTTCTTTTTTTCTACCATGTCCCTTCAGAACATGTGATCGTGGCTCCCCACAACAACCTATATTTTGTTATTTTCCTCATTATGTGTCTCAGAAATTTCAACCATCTGTGTCTGATCCTAAGTCTAGTTGTTTTTATTCACATTTTCCTTAAATCTTTCTCGTTTCTCCTATGTTCCGTCCATGGTTTCTCTGCATTCTTCGTTAGGACCACATCTGCGTTGCCTCAAGTCTTCTCTTGTTAGGTGATGAAACCGTGTAGCATTTACTGCAATATAGCAGTATTCATATTATATAGCAGTTCATTAGCGGGCATATTTTAACAACATAGATACGCAGATGATACCGTATTGATAGAAAACACAGAAAGAAAGCTGCAGATAGTTCTAAACAAGTTAGTAAAGGAAAGTGATAAGTAAAGATTAAACAACAATTGTAAGAAGATAACATGTGCTGTGGTAAAAGATAGAATGTATGAGACAACACAAGAATCTCGTCTACATATTGGAAAAGTCAAAGTCCAGATTAAATTCTGACACTTTATCATAAATTCTATAAGAAGCAAGTATTCCTTCTGTTAATACATTTACTCCTGATTTACTACTCTTTTTTTCACCATAACTCTGTTGTTGTTGTTGTTGTTGTTGTTGTTCTTGTCCTTCTTCTTCTTCTTCTTCTTCTTCTTCTTCTTCTTCTTCTTTGTACCGTGTCCTTTCATGACATGCGCGATCACGGTTTCTCACTATTTCCTGTCTTTTATAGTTCTCAATAAAGTTTGTCTTTACGAATTAGACCACGGCATGACTTCATTATAAAGAAGAGCTCCAGTTAAGCAATGTACATCACTAGTTGGGTCTTTTTTTTTTCGAATCTATATCTGTTAGCGTTATATTCTTTCCGGGATGTTAAATGGGAAGCAAGATGCCGGAAGAGACTTCCTCCAGCGAGAAGTTTGTGAGAAGAAACTGCTAGCATAGAACTCACCCTTACATCTAACCAATTCAACAATTTTCTTTTCAGTTATCGGTGATTATATTTTACTAGGGGTAGGAGGAGAAAAAGACAACAGATGATTAAAATCGTCAGTAACGCTGTGGAAATAATCACCAAAGAAAATGTTTTAGAGCAGTATCTAGTGACAAGAAAATTAAGCAAATTTTCCTCCTGCAACCAGTTTTCCTCGACACTAAGAGATATAATAAGTAAAAGCACTAAGAATTCTATGACTGATAATTGAAACGTCGAAGGTAAAGGCGAAGAACGAAGTGAATTTATCGCCAAGACGAATCAGAAATAAGGGTTAGGGGTGGGTCTCCAAAATGATACTCGGGTAAGCTTATCTGTATTTGTTGTTTTACTGGCAAATAGGAAGACGTTAAGACGTTTGAGTCAGTTGGCTGGGGGAGAAAACCCCGAAGACTTCGGATGCGGGAAGGACAGTATGGGTAGTGATGGCGGTGGCGAGAATAAATTAGAAGACAGTGACAACATTAGAAATACTTTGCAAAGCTGTTGTTTGTGGATGTCGTAAAATGTAGTAGGATACATTTTTACCAGCTGTATGTTCCAGTTCTCTTAATTCAGAAACTTGTAAATGTATGTGTATATGCGTGTGTATGTGCAAGCTAATGCATCTATCTATCTATCTATCTATCTATCTATCTATCTATCTATCTATCTATCTATCTCAAATGAGAGAACAACCATTTCTGTCCTATTTTTCTGTCAGTCAGTTTTTCTCTTTCTCCCCCCTCTCTCTCTCTCTCTCTCTATATATATATATATATATATATATATATATATATAATTTCCAATTTAAATAATAGATATAACCTGATGTTTCTTCAACAGTACTTAATAAATGGCATGTAACCACTATAGGCCAAAACTAGACATAGATAGATATTAAATAGCTTTAAAATCGCTTACAAAACGTCACACATTTATGCTTGCCAAAAGTCACACAATTATGCTTGCCAAAAGTCACACAAATATGCTTGCCAAATGTCACACAAATACGGTTGCCAAAAGTCACACAAATATGCTTGCCAAAAGTCACACAAATACGCTTGCCAAAAGTAACACAAATATACTTGCGTCAGGTCACACAAATATGCTTGCCAAAAGTCAAACAAATACACTTGTCAAAAGTCACACAATATGCTTGCCAAAAATCACACAAATCTGCTTGCCAGAGTGGGAAACCCGGATGGCAAGATTCCCGGTCGGGACCAATAATATTGTGGATTCTTCTTCAGATTTTATAAATAATCTCTAAATATATAGCAGAAGCACCGCAACATTTATGGCAGCCATATTCAAAGCATGGGTGAATACCATTCACCCATGCTTTGAATATGGCTGCCATAAATGTTATAAATGTTATAAATATATAAGATAGATTTTAGAGAGAAAATTGTCTAGCACGCAACAGTGAACTAACTTTTTTAACAGCAGACCTAGCAATGGGTTCAATATCCTTTTTCAACTTTATGTCAGCAGAGAATTTAAGCACATAAGGCGCAACGAGTCACTGCTCTCGGGGTTAGCATCAGTCATGCTGATAGAAAGATGAAAGAAATTTCTCAGATGTTTGATAGAGAGAAGTTTCGTTTTGGAGTCGTTAAAATTCACAAGACATTCTTTGCCGAACTTGACAGCAAATTGCAGGCCATTTTTTTTTTTTAGATCAGTGCGCAATTTTCCCTTTATAGAACCGATCAGACTTATTATTGAGGCTGGAGTAAATATTTGTGTCCTCAACATCAAGTTGAGAACTGATGACAGGAAAATCATTGATAAATGTTTGGAACAATTTAGGTTCAAGGATTGAGCCCTCTTTGCACCTACTTTAATACCTGCGTTCAGGACAACTTTCATATCGCGATTTGATAAGAAAGATTGAATTTGCTCAAAAATTCGTTCAAAAATAGCATAACCTTGCAACTTGAAATCGGTATGCCAAACCCTGTCAAAAGCTTTCGAGCGAGATGTCTAAATCAACAGCCCGAACTTTACTATTCTTATCTAAAGCTTGATATACTCTTTCAGTAATACCCGTTTATACAACATTATTTAACTTAGAGAAGCGAAAGTAATACTGCATATCTCAAAGAAGGCGGTGTGAGATGGTTACCCAGTTCAGAGTTGATTTTAAATTATAAAAATAAAAACTAAATAGAGTTAAGTTCTTTTAACAGTCTGATACTCCTTGTAATATTCCTTGCAAAATGTTAAATTTTTGCATCAAGTTATCACCATTTTCGTATCCTTTCTCTTCGAGAAATATGCTTGTAGACATAACCTTATCTTTGAATTTTTTTCTGTCTCTATTTGCAGGCAAATCGTCTAGGAACTGATGGAGTCTCGTAAATAGTAACCTAAGTTTACCAATTAAGCATATATACTCGAATAGTGAGTGAATAATGCCCAATTATTTAGAAAAGTCTTTAATCAGCAATTGTTGATATCCTTTGATCGCCAATGAAATAATAAAAGCTCAGTACTCTTTTCTTTGTTTCCAAGAAATTTTCCTGTCTTTTAATATTTACCTACCTTTTGAAAGCTAAGCATCTTATCCCAATTCTAGGCCAACACGCTTCCAGATTTCGGTGTCGCATTTTACCTGTTTAAGTGTTAAAAGCATTTAAAAGGCTCTAAACACTCGGTCTCGGTGTCAGACTTCACATGGCTTTTGGCATTAATGACAGTTACACAATGAAAATCGATTTTCAGATGCCTGAATAGATTGTTCTTTCATTTAAAAATAGATCATTCTTTTAGATTTTAAAAATGACTTTATGCTTCTCTTCATCCCTACGACAGAAGCGGTAATCGTCCCAGTTAGCATATATAGATTCAAAAGAAGATCATTTTTATATTCCAAAATGACAATTTGCAGTATTTTGGGCCTTTAAAAATGTTTAAGATTTTTGACTGAACTACGTCTGTAAAACAATTCTGAATTTTTTCATGTCGTTTTTGCAGAGAAAAAAAAAACCCTGAAAGAGGTCCATGCGTACATGATGGAAAAATTGGTCCACAAATGCCTGCTGTTCATCTTTGCAACGAACTGGTGCGGGAACTTTCAGTGTTGAGATTTTGTGACCAATATGCAACAAGTTCTGAGACTCCATAAACAGTGTAAAATCATTAATTTGTTCAGCATGTTCTTTAATCGTCAAAATCTCAAAAGGAATTGCTGATACATTATATGGTAGTTTTCTAAGCGTATTTTAGATGTGACACAAAGCCGAAAGTATGGGGTACCCACTGAGGATGGAATTCTCTACTCAGTCGTAATTGGGTTAGCGAGACAAGCTTGCTAGCCATTACACCACCGAAAAGTGCCCACTCCCACTACATAGGTATGTTTCCTTTAGTAAAAACATTTAATTGGAAGAAATCTGTTCGAAGAACAAAATGCTTCATATAGGATTCAGTTGTCATTCAATTACCCTCATAAAGATATGTAATAATATAACTACCAATAAAACGCAATACATCATGTCGTCGTAATGTAGATCGAAGAATAAAGAAAGTTATGTATCTTAGTGAAACTACGTCTTCCGAAAACAATAATCTTTGTTTGAAAATCAGTTTTCAGTTTTTTCAAAGTCAATTTGGGCAGATATCCTTAGGATCCGGCCTAGTTAAGTGATATCCACTAACTGTTCAATTCTTTCTATTATCTCTTTATATAAACGTATAACATTTGAACACCATGAACAAAATACGGATTAAATTATAATAGATTGATAGTTTATCTTGACGCTCAAAGCCACTAAACTTTGTTATTTAGAATTCTCAAGTGACTTGATTTCCCTTTTAAATGAGAAAGAGGCCATTTCTACTTAATAGCCCTGAGGCTTGTGGTAATCTTTACTGCTGCCGTTTGATTGTTTGTTTTTATTCTCTGGATGTCTCGTGTTCCTTCCACAACGAATGCCATTTTTGGGTGTGGAACCTTTGTTAGTCTAAATCAAAACGCTGCAGGATAGAGGGGAATTCTTCATGATTAGTCGCAGACATCCACAAACATCGACATGTCCGGTTTCATTTTAGGAGCGTTATTCAACTGAAATGCCATAAAGATAGTGAAATCAGTGAACGTTTCAGGTTTTGATGTTTGATCATTGATATTAATTACAATTCCACTTATTATTCTAAACAACAGACATCCTTTTAATGCCGCGATGGAGGGTTTGAACAAAGTCAAAACGGAAACCCCAAAGTAGTCGCTATTGACTCAGGGGACGTCGATGGGACTATATAGAGCGTCAATAAATACTAAACACTGACATTCACATAAGGAAAGAAATAAACATTCCAAATAGTGAGATAGAGATAAACATGATGCATCTGGAAAAATTAAGGAAAGATTGAAAATAGGTTTTGATGAGCCTGATAAACAGCACACACTTGACTGGATGGTTACACCGTCTGATGTGGAAATAGAAATGCAGATACTGTATCTTACAACATGAACTCATTGATATATATGGACCTTGAAGCTCAATCATTACTCAAAAGTAAAAATCCTAGTGACTATTAAAATAATATTATAACTGCTAATTACCCCAAATTTAGTGCAGCAGTTGAGTCTTTTTATAGGTTGTTCAGGAAATAATGTCCAATTTTAGAATAAACCCTTTGTATTCTAATATATTAACCTTGATCTTGTTCCCCACCCTTCTCTTAATTCTCTTTCCAAACATGCTTCTTTACTCTTGTTCTCTACCCTCTGTAACCCCTTGCGTGCTAGTGACACCCCGCCTTGCTTGGGGTAAAATGCTTAAAAAATATCATAATCGTTGCACAAAAATATATTACTCATTCCTAATGATTAAATTGCCTTCTTTCTAATTTTTATATCAATCTCTTTTAGAATTTAATTTAAAATATTATATATCCAGTATCTTGAACATGACAAAAAAAAGAGATACTTTTTTTTTTGCATGAGTTCAATCAGCGGCAGATGTCATTTCTGACCTTTGGTCTCTGGTTTGGATTCCGAAGAAAATGTGCATACGATCGAATCGTCGCAGTTATCTTCGTACTGGGCTGGTCCAAGCAGGGCGATGACGTACAGAGTAAAAAAAATAACACTCGATTAAAGTGAACAAAAGTAATTACTGTTTTTATATCAGTCCTTCGTATGCAATTAATTATCAGTCCAGACCGCATCTAAATCGGAAGTGATACGATCGTCGACCTGGCAAAAATCTGGTTTGCTATTGTTGGTAGAGTTTGGCACGAGGCTGACGTTGGCGGCTACTCTTTGGCAGGCAATCACTTGGGGTGTATCATGTCCGGTGACTGGGACTCTCTGCCGTCTCGGCTCTGTCTTCTACTCCGACTCGTCTCTCTTCTACCTCTGTCTCTGTCTCTTCTGCTCCGTTTTTATTTCTCTCGACTGCTTATGGAGTTGAGAGATGGGTATTTCATTCTCTTGTTTCTCAGTCACTCAGCTACTTTCCATTTCAGGGTGGTTTCGAGCCAAAAACCACGACATTCACCAGGGACCTCGTTTAGTTTTTTTTCTCCTGTGTCTGCTCAGAGTCCTTCTTACATCTTCCCCTTTTTCTTCTTTTTTTAATTGTCTTGCTAGTTTGATTAGCCAACATAACAGGTATTACCTGGGCTGCGTCCACCAAGGAATCACACATGGTCACTTTGCCTTCTTCGGGGTTATATTCCTCTATTGGGGTCAGTTGTAAAACTTCTCTTCCTTCCGTTGACACCATCCTTACCTGCCGGAGGTGTATTTGTCAACGGGAGGATCCGTGGGTTCTTTCTTCACGACCTCACACCACCTCGTCTTATATCCACGACGAGTGCATCTGGTGCATCCCTGCTCATTGCAATCCAAATCTGAATAAAACTGATAAACAAAATATTCGAGTGCAAAGGCAAAATGGCAAGAAAATAAAAGCTACGAATGGGTTATCAGAGGAGGTCAAGAGTATCCGGTTCTACAAATATGATGATTTTTAAAGCAAAGAGGAATCTGTGAGATAATGGTTTACAAGATTTTGCAAGTTATATTTTCTATTGTTATTGGTTCATGAAGAGCAAAGCTCAGGAAGAAGGACGCTTGCGTATACGTGGATAAAATAAAATTCGTGGGAAACAATAAGTTATATAATGATAAGGTTATTTAAGAAGTGTGGTATCACTAACGCAATGGGTGGCATCAAGGATAACATTTATCATAATATTGGATCTAGTGATGAAATTTCGGAGTCTTTTCCAAGCGATAATGAAACAATGAGGATTTTGTAGATTGTGAACCAAACTTAATAACAGCAAACATTTTTATATATGGTACTTTATTATTTTGATGTTTTGTATTCAGAACAATATATAATAATTTAAAAATATTAGGTTGAATTTTTGTTCAATAAAAATCTGTCAACTAATGTAGATTTTCTTCAAATCTTTTTTCAAACTAAGGGTGCGCCTAATACGCCAGTTCTTCTTATATCCCGAAAAGTACGGTAATAATTGAAATGAGGGAAGAATAATGATAATTCCACATCTAAACATTTCCACCAAAATTTGTTATTTATACAGAGTGTATTGCATCTATCGGCCTTTGAAGTAATAAAAATGTTTGAGTAGTAATAAATTCATCAATTCCTTAGAAATATATATGTATATATATATAGTTGGATTGATGTGAGTTTGTGACTCTGAATTAAAGGCCCTTGCGATCGTCAGACAACTGGCAAGGGCTTGAAACCCAGGATATATATATATATATATATATATATATATATATATATATATATATATGTGTGTGTGTGTGTGTGTGTGTGTGTGTGTGTGTGTGTGTATTATGGTGTTCGGCATATAATTATTTATTTTACTGTTATAAATTATGCGTCAATCGGGCAAGCCAGGAGCATGGTTGAATTGCATCGAGAATTAGTTTGCATCGATTGTTTGTCACTTATACTATCCAATAGTGCGCTGTTTATCGTGCAATTCAGAGTTGGTGAACCGAACACAATGTCTCAAAATGTGCGACAGTCTTTTTCACCAGGGATGCTAGCCATTCTTTTGAATTGTATTGTTTCAGATCTTGGAAACTTTGTTTTGTATGTTAACAGAGATAAAGAAGTTGAAAACTGTCTTTCAAACATTTTTCGATAAAAAAAAACACATTTCTTTAAACATGGACGGGGAATCGAAAATTTGAATTCCTCTTGAGCTAGATTCGTTGAAACTGAATGAATATGATTAGATTTTATAAATATAATAGTTAAATTAATTAAATGTAACTTTATATATATATATATATATATATATATATATATATATATATATATATATATATATATATATATATATATATATATATATATATATATATATATATATATATATATATATATATATATATATATATATATATATATATATATATATATATATATATAGAATATATATATATATATATATATATATATATATATATATATATATATATATATATATAGATATATATATATATATATATATATATATATATATATATAAAATTAATGGATTTATTTTAATCCGATTTTATTATAGTAGATGCTTGTACTTGGAATAGAAGCCACGTATTTATTTTTAAACACTGTGCATGTGCCGGAAATAGGAATAAAAAAGAGGTGCGTATTTCAAATACGAGTATCCACCATATTAACATTTGAAGTAACGCACACACACGTATATTTATATATATATATATATATATATATATATATATATATATATGATGCTGTGCAAAATGAAGTGAACATCAGACATTACAAATCTTCGAATGACCTAGTCAAAGTCCTGATGTAAAAACAATTGAAAATATGCAGTCCAAGCGAAAGAAGGCAATGCGTGTAAAAAACCCAGGTAATATCGAGCAATTGTGAGAGTTTTACCCTGAAAAATGCTCAAAAAATGACGCTAACTACTGTCAGAAACCTCTTAAAGATTATCGAAAAAGACTGACCGACTTTGTGATTTCAAAAGAAGGAATCACCAAATACTAAATGTAAATGTTCACTTACACTTGCAAATTTTAATTTTTAATTTGTAGTTAATATCTGTATTCAAGCTTGATAAATCTTTTGGAAAGTGCCTTTAATTCGTTTAATAAAGGTTTTTCTTAATGAATATATAGTTTTTAATTAAGATTTGTTGATTTTCTGGAAAAAAAGAGATAAAGCTTTTAATATTATCTTAGGGGTTCACTTTTGCTGCACTGTATATATGGAGAGAGAGTTGGAATTGATTTTACATATTTACAAATACCGAAAAGCATTCTTTTGTTCGCTTTATTTGATGTACACTGAGGATCGAACTTATATAGTAGCTAAGGTCAATCGGACAGGCTCGTTAACCATTTCCCCACACTTCATAAACTGATTTAATTTCTGTACAAAATTCTATTGTAAACTTTTATTTGAGGCTAGAGAAGTTTTATTCATATTCGGTTGTTGTAAGCCATAACAAACTTCATCAGGTTGAAAATATCGAAAACAATTGAACTCTGCTTCATTCTTTGAAATGATGACACCGAAATCTTCAGTTATTTCCTGATATCCGTTTACCAAACTCTATGACCATTTCAAATTTAATTTGGTTACTTCGAAAGGCTTTTGTGACCAACATTCAGAACATTTTAAACACACTCACACATACACACACATACGCATACATGTACATATATATCTATGTATATATATATATATATGCGTCTGTGTGTGTGTATGTGAAAGAGAGAGAGAGCATGCATAATTTTGCACACATTCCACCTCGTTTATACATGCATATATTGGTGCAGATGAATACGTTTCTTCATGACATTGATCGAAGAGTATGCTCTGTTATAAAAATACCTCTTAAACGTTAACCTACAGAGGCTCTCTTTTCTGGGAAAGGCTCTTCTTTGATCAATACAGAAGTTCAGGGTTGGGCCAGTTGTTTTTATGGTCGACTTTTCTCATTCGTTTAGTTTAAAAGGTTTTTATATTGTTCCGTGATCCAATGTCGCTCCTCTCCGAAGAACACATATCTATTGATGTACAAGGGGTTTGTAGGCTTTCCTTCTCTTTACTCCCATCGACGTTTGTTTTCTGTTGTCATAAATAGTTACACTGTGTGTTGTTATTTTCATAGCCCTCCCCATTGTGTCTCCCATCTCTTCTTTATTTCCTTCTTTCTCGTTTATTTCTTCATTTTAGCCCCTCTTTTTCCATTTGTTTATTTATTCTTTTTTATTTACTCCTGTGTCGTTTACACCTATCTTTATTTCTATGCCTTTTTCCTTTTCTTTCACTAATATTCGCATTCTTTTATTACTCTTTAATATTTCCTTCCTTTCACTGCATCTATGGTTTCTTTCTTTCTTTCTTTCTTTCTTTCTTTCTTTCTTAAAAATAACGCACACACTGGTTGCCAACCGTTGAGCAATGTTTAGTAATCTTCCCTTATATACTGAATTTGACAATGTACCAGACTAAATTGCAATTCACACACACACACACACATATATATATATATATATATATATATATATATGTGTGTGTGGCACTCAAGCAATTTTGTCAATGTGCTGTTTATGACCTAGTTTACATCAGTGTTCGTGAAATAGAGATGAAACCTGATTTCCTGTGAAATTATTGATCAAAGGGGAATGATTATATTGATCGACCGAATCTTAAGTATTCAAACACGTTAAAAGCAAGGTTCATAAGATTTAACGTTCTCTTTGATATTGTTAAAATCTATTTTTCCATTTATGACAGTTTGTTCATGCTTATTGTCGCCAGCCTAAGTATCTTTATATGTATATTTACATGAACTTTGATATTTGAGAAGAAAAAAAAAACGACATAAAAATGGTATCCAACATTGCAACCATATTGTTCGATCAGAAAAAAAAACTGATTATACGTATTCGAAAAGCTTGGCCCGTCATTGACATTGTATTTTAAGGAAAAGTGTTCAAAAGAGAAATCATTGCAAAAGTTATAGACGGTTTTGAATTGATAGTTATCCTTTTCCCAGACTAGCAGAGCAAACTAGGTTCGCTTGAACAGTTTACTCTGGCAGTTATCTCATAGTTGGAGGTAAAACGGATGAATTTATGCATTTTCCCAAAGTTATTTGCAAAAGTGAATGTAACGAACACGGTTGAAATTCGATCTCGGCTCTTTGATTTCCCTTCGTGAATCGTTACCCATTACACTACTCGTACATCTTATATAGACATAGGTATGTATATCAAACTTTATAATATGTATTTATATTTTTGTGCGTCATTGTATATAAGCACACACACACACACACAAACTTATATGTGTGTCTGTCTGTATGTATATATATATATATATATATATATATATATATATATATATATATATATATATATTATATATATATATATATATATTTATTTAGTTTGGTGTGAGTTTGTGAGCGTGGGTTTCACGCTATCTGCTATCGTCAGACATCGTAGTTTGTTTGACGATCGCAAATAGCGTAAAACCCAGGGTCACAAACTCACACCAATCAATTAAATATGTTACCTCTATCACTGATATTGAGCGCTTTCTAATAAGTACCGCGCATATATAATATATAAATACTATATATATAAAATTGTATATATATATATATATATATATATATATATATATTTATTTATTATGCAGTGTTACATTAAAACATGCGCATAATATATATATATTTTACATACATATATATATATATTTATATACATCCACATTTACAAAAATATATATATATATATATATATATATATATATATATGTGTGTGTGTGTGTGTGTGTGTGTGTGTGTGTTTTGAGAAAGGGAAATTTGTAAAAT